TTAAAACCTCTTAGCCTTTCTGCGTGTGCTTGGTGTGGTGCATGAAAAGTCGATTCTTTGTGTTGCTCCCATCTAGAGGGGAGGTCAGGAGGTTTAGACCTCTGCGCTGTCTGGTCGGGAGTGGGGAGGGCTCCGAGGGGCCGGGCGGGGGCTGGAGGGAGCACCAGCAAATTGATTCCTGGCACTTTCTCTGCTCCCCTTGGTGAGGGCTGGCCTTGCCTGTATCGGCCGGGAGACCCAGAATAGGCTGAGCGGACCTCGCCAGAGCTGCTTGTCAGCGGGGACTGCTCTGTCAGCAGGGAGAGCCAAAAAGGGCCGTTCCACCCCTGAGAGGCGGCAAGGGCTGGGCTGGGCTGGGCAGGTCAGGCCTCAGACACTGGGGGGTGGTGTGAGGGAAGGCTGGTGAGGCGGGGAGAAGCGCGGCTGCCTCCGAACCTCTCTGGCTGAACCTGCCTTGCGTTGCTTCCCCCGGCAGGTGCCCATTCTGCATTTATTCCACCAACCGCCCCGCTGCCATGGAGTGCCACCTCAAGACCCACTACAAGATGGAGTACAAGTGCCGGATCTGCCAGACGGTGAAGGCCAACCAGCTGGAGCTGGAGACGCACACCCGGGAGCACCGCCTGGGCAACCACTACAAGTGCGACCAGTGCGGCTACCTGTCCAAGACCGCCAACAAGCTCATCGAGCACGTGCGCGTCCACACCGGGGAGCGGCCCTTCCACTGTGACCAGTGCAGCTACAGCTGCAAGCGCAAGGACAATCTCAACCTGCACAAGAAGCTGAAGCACGCCCCACGCCAGACCTTCAGCTGCGAAGAGTGCCTGTTCAAGACCACACACCCTTTCGTCTTCAGCCGCCACGTCAAGAAGCACCAGAGTGGGGACTGCCCCGAGGAGGACAAGAAGGGCCTGTGTCCAGCCCCCAAGGAACCGGCCGGCCCGGGGGCCCCGCTCCTGGTGGTCGGGAGCTCCCGGAATCTCCTGTCTCCCCTGTCGGTTATGTCCGCTTCCCAGGCTCTGCAGACCGTGGCCCTGACAGCAGCCCAAGGCAGCAGCTCAGAGCCCAACCTGGCACTCAAGGCTTTGGCCTTCAACGGCTCCCCTTTGCGCTTTGACAAGTACCGGAACTCAGATTTTGCCCATCTCATTCCCTTGACAATGTTATACCCCAAGAACCACTTGGATCTCACATTCCACCCTCCCCGACCTCAGACTGCGCCTCCCAGCATCCCCTCACCCAAACACTCCTTCCTCGCCTATCTCGGACTGAGAGAAAGAGCAGAGACTGTCTGAGGGCAGCCATGTTCTGTACCAAAAACAAAGAGACAAAAGACAAAAAAAAAAAACCCACAAAACTTAAACACAACCCCAGCAGGTGTATGTTGCTGCAAAACCTACAGACCCCCATGGGTCTGAAACATGTGTACTGTATATCTTTAGTAAGGAATAGAGAATTGGCTCTGTGTGTATACCTATTGCATTGACCTGAAAGCTGCTTTATCCAATCTTCAGAGAGGTGACCTACTGCATACTTCTACCTTCAGAGGCATGCCTCCCCAGCCACCCACTCCCACTCTCAGCCCTTCTCCGTACTTTTCTCTGAAAGGAATCTTGTCTTGTTAAACCCTAAAGAGAGTGTCCTTAATAGCAATCAGCACTTGTAAGCTTATATACTGGTGCATTTGGTTTTCTGTTGGGTGAATGTGGTGTGTGGGCGTTTGTGGATTCTGAAAGAGAAAGCCGTGTGTCGTGTGCCATGACATTTCTATTGCACATTCTTTGTACTGGCTTCTTTAACAGCGATGAACGTTCTTTTCCCTCCTGGGTTGTTCATCCACGACAGTCTCTCCCTGCGCTCCTTCATCACCTTTCCCTCTCTCTTTGACGGCTACAGAGTGGTAGGGCCTGGTGCTTAGTCGATGAAGGAATGGTAGACATCTACAGTGCTGCTGGAGATTTCCACCAGAGCGCTGGAGACCTTGTACTCAGATCTTCTCTGGCGATGAAGAGGCGAGGAATCAAGTGACTGATCTGGAAGAAATATCTCGCAGCACTGCAGCAGACATCACAGAACTTAAGTGTGTTTTGTGTGTGTGCCCACACATAGACAAATGTGTACGGTGCACACACACAGTGCATCATTTTGTAAGGGCAGATTATATATATATATATGATGTATTAATTCAGTGGTTACCATTTGTTTGCAGGAAAAAGAAATGTATGAGTGAAAAAAATTTATGGTTGATAAATCCAGCCAAGGAGATTAAAAGGGGTTTGGATAAATTCTGGGTATAAATGCTCAGACTAAAAAAAAAGAAACGGCAGTTTTGCACAGTGCTGTGGTCTTGCACTAGTTTTTGTTTCTCATCTGAAAAAAGTAAAAAGGAAGAAAATGTACCTTTTTTATGGAATGAGTAGACTGTATATTTGAAGATTTAGCCACAACCTCTTTGACATATAATGACGCAACAAAAAGGTGCTGTTTAGTCCTATGGTTCAGTTTATGCCCCTGACAAGTTTCCATTGCGTTTTGCCGGTCTTCTGGCTATATCGCGGTATCCTCCATGTTATTAGTAATTCTGTATTCCATTTTGTTAACGCCTGGTAGATGTAACCTGCTAGGAGGCTAACTTTATACTTATTTAAAAGCTCTTATTTTGTGGTCATTAAAATGGCAATTTACGTGCAGCACTTTATTGCAGCAGGAAGCAGGTGTGGGTTGGTTGTAAAGCCCTTTGCTAATCTTAAAAAGTAATGGGTGATTTAAAAAGAAAAAAGGAAAAAATCTTTGGCTGAATGTGTTCATTGCTTGTATTTTTAAAACAACAGAATTTCCAGTATGAAACAGGCTGAAAGAGCAGGAAGCAATGTTCTTTGTGTAATAATGGGAAGTTTGGAATATAAAAGTTTATGTATTTAATTTATCTACTGGAGAACTGGTGTGCAGGAGGAACACTCTCTTACTGTGTCGCTGTTTTCCATCATGTGTTATCCTAAGAGTTGGGGTTTTCAAAAATCTGTTTCACCAGGGGCAAAATAAAAGCATCCCTAATGTTCTTCCTCTAGTCAGTTTGCTTTGCTGAAAGCTCCCTGGGAATTAGTACAGTTCTCCAGGAAGCCCGAAGACTGTACTGTCTGTCCACACCATGGTCTCCTCAGTCCCCTCCATGCCAGCCCCTCTCCCCCACACCCAGCAGGTATGCTACACCTCCCTTTGCCAGTCATCCCGCCATGGATGGGGAGCCTGCTCGGTGCCCTGGCAAATCTGTTTACACTAAGGAGATGCCCACAGGGACAGGGAGGCCAAACCAGCTAGGGCGGGAAGCTCCCAAACCCTCAGTCATTCTCCAGCAGAGACCTTTGCTCTCGGCCGGGTTTGAAACGATGTTCAACCTCGCCACATCAATGTCTCAATAAAAGACACTATAGATAGTTATGGACAATACACTCCAAGAATACTGGGCTTATGGGTGGGTTGGGTTGTTTTGTTTTCGAGTCATGTCTTTATCCCCATATAATGGAGAATGTGCCACTTGGCTAATAATGTGTTTTCAAAATTACAAGTTCAGTGATGACAGGAAAGAGGGCTAAACTGATCCCACAGAGGCTGGTAGAAAAGGTGAATCACACTCAAGCACCAGCGGGTTAAAACCCTGAAAGGGTGGCCCTGACAATTCGGACTATAGGTTTTACAGCATGCCACTTGTGCAATAGGAGGTCTTAGGATTGAAACTTTCAAGAACAAGAGGGGGTGAAAGAAGGAGACGTTTACTGCTCAAATGCCATGCATTTCACTGCTTGCCACTGAACTTGTATTTGAATGACTTAGTCATGCTTAATATAATTGGGCAACTTTTTTAGCACTTTGGAAAGAGTCATCAATCTTTCTGGTAAATTATAAAAGTTTTCTGAGTGAGAAAAGGTGTGTTTGGAGTTTGTTTGACTTTTTATATTATTATTGTTATTAATAAAGAAAAAAAATCTACAGCATTTTTCAGACTCCACCCTAGAAAATATGTACCCCTGAATTTGGTTTGCAGTTTGATACTCAGGGAAGGATGTATTCCATAGATATCCTTTCCGTGTAAAACACTAACATCTTTGAGAAATTCACCTACCAACTAACTTCAATTGTTGTCACTATGCATTCTTCAATGAAAACTAGCTTATTTTTCCATATAGTAATGCAGTTAGGGTTCTCAGCACTTTCTTTCTTCTATCCTTTTTTTAACTCTTCATATTATGTTCAGATGATCATACTGTCAAGGTTTGTGTACATTACTGAAAATTTGTATTGTATAAAGCTTTTTGCATTACAAGGCTGTACAGGGTCATTTTGACAGTAACTGGTATATTCCTTTGCATCTTATGTTGCATTGCCAATTTCTAGTGTATCCAGTTTGAAAGTATAATATACTCTAATTAAAAAAACAAGTTGGCTATACTCTTGTTTCTTTTTCTTTTTTCGTTTGCCATCCTTGACTGCTTGTTAGTCTCAGGGTTTTGTTTGTCTTGCTTTGTTCCGTTTTTTACTTCTCAGTGTATTTTAATCAGATTTCAGAAGTGTCCACTCCTAGTTTGAACTGTCACAAAATTCAAGTGTTGAACAGTGATGGTTATAATGCAAACTGTTATTATGTACATCTTTAATGGCCATTAAGGTTAAGAGCATATCCATCATTCAGGACAGTGGCAGGCCAGCTCCTTCCTGAAATTACTTAGTGACATTTGAAAGTGTTTGCCAACCCTATCCTCTCCTGCTTAACATCATTTCATTGACCCCATAGCCAAAGGGGGGAAAACAGATGAATAATTCCATTTATCTTAATGAAGTTGGGCAACTATGAGATTTTAATGAGTGGAAAAATTGTATGTTTCGCAAACTAAATAATAATCTATCCAAATGCAAGTAATAATAGTTCACCATTCAAGAGAAGGTACCAGAGAAAGAAACTGAGACCAAAGACAGAGAGAGAAAGAAATGAAAAACACGCTAAGTTCAAACAATTTTTTAAAATCCATTTTGTTCTATCTATTTGAGACCTTTCCATGAATCTATGATGGTTGACAAAAATATATAAAGCAGCAGAAGAGACTGTTTTGCCTGGTTTGTAATTTGCATGCTTATAAATATAATGTCCTTTGCTTATTTCAAGCAATTGTGAACCACTTCACTCTAACATTTAAAAAGATCAAATTTACTTTTTAAAAAATGAGATAATGTAGGAGAAGCCACTTTGAAAATGGCCAGTCACTAATTAGACACTATTTTCTCTTTTATTTTTTCATCCAACAGCTATTTTTTAGGTGATTGAGTCAAATACATTAATTTGATTCAAATACTAATTTGGTTTTGAGGTGGCTGGTGTTGAAATAAGCCAGACTTCTTTGATTTTTGCTAGTGCTACAGGCAGATGTGGCTTCTCATTTTGTGTACACATTTTTTTTTCCTTAAACTCCACAGCTACCTTACATTTTCCCTGAAGTTGAGAATAGCCAGCAATACAAAGAAAATAATCATCAGTTTAGTAATCATTTCCCCAGAAATGGGCCTTCAGTGACTTGGAGAAATGGTCTGGAAACAGAACTGTTCATGACAGAACAGATCACACCCTCTCCCATCTTGACTTCTCTGGAAAACGGTGTGTGGACCCCGGCATCTGCAAGCCAGTCATGAGGCCTTTGTTTGAATTGTAATCCAAGCACGATTAGATATTTCTCCTACTGTCACGCTACATAAATATAGTTTAAGCTAAGACTCAAAGCCATGTTTTCTATAATGCGTCCACTGCTGATGGATTGTTTGGGAGCCACCAACAAACCGTGCCTGACCATTTAACAGAGCTGCCGCACTGGTCACGGGAGCAAGGAGAAATAGCAAGCCGTGGTGAGCACGTAGTTTCCCCTTATCCACAGTCAGAAGCACCACGGTAGAACCCCTGCCTGCCAAAGGTCATGTGGGACTTGTGAACAATTTGAAGGGGAAGACACATCTCATTAGTCACCTCCATGCTTTCAGTCTGTGGGGACGAAGGAGAGCCAAGAGGTGCTTAGTGAGAGATGGAAGCGGATAGCAGCTGAGTGATTTCATCAGTGCTTCCAGAAGACAGAGAATATAGAACTGGAACCCTTCCCAGCAGCAGCTTAGAACCTGTGAGCAAAATCACAAGATAAAAGGGGTCCCTTGGAGATTTAGGATTCATTCTGAGGAGCCATCCATCACAGATATTCAAGATACTCCAGCCAATATTCTTGCTTACATCATTCCCTCAGAATAGAAGAGTCCCACACAAAATGGGGTTTATTTTGGGAATAACTACAATTAACTAAGCAGGCAAATGCCTGTAAAACAGGCCCCAGGGTAAGTGAAGTACAGTGACTCCCAGAAATTGGGGCACTCCGTTTTTCCCTGTGCAACATCTGAAGGGTGTCAGGTTATTTATTAATCAAGGCCTCTTCTTCTTTATGAAGTAGTAGAGCTTCCGTTCATAATTCTTTCTTTGTAGTTGAATCTGTAAAACAGGAAAATGCAGATCCTGCTCACATTAATAGGAGGTGCAAAAGGGAAAAGAAAAACCAATTGCTGTATCCCCCTGGAATTCCTTTCTCGCACAGCTAAGTATTAGTTCATTCGTTCTTGGTTTTCAGTAGAATTCTAAACCTGGAGCAGAGAATCTACTTCAATTCACACTTCAAAATCATTTCCCCTTACACAGTTCCCTACAGGTGGTTTTTCACCCTGTATAGTGAGAAAATTTGGATTACTTGGAGTCAGACCACCTGAGTTACAAACCTGGCTCAGACACAAACTAGGGGTGTGATTATGACATACCATTAAGCATCTTCTGAAAAGAACCGCTGAACTGAATGATCTCGAAGGCCCCTTCCCACTCTAATATAACATATAATCAACTACGATTCTACAACTTGCTGTAAACAAGAAAAAGTCAGCCTTTTGAAAGAGAGATGGTTGCAAGGCAGAATCCTTGTAAGGCAGTTACAGAAAAAAATAGCACCTCAACATTTTCAAGCCACAACAGGCTCAGTGAAGGGAAAAAAATGACTAAAAATATTTTTCTGTTCTGCTCACTTCACAGGTAGGGAGATCTAAAGTTTATCTGTTTTTTGTTTGTTTGTTTGTTTGTTTGTTTTTGAGACAGAGTCTCAATTCTGTTGCCCAGGCTGGAGTACAGTGGCATGATCTCGGCTCACTGCAACCTCCAACTCCCAGGTTCAAGCAATTCTCCTGCCTCAGCCTCCTGAGTAGCTGGGATTACAGGTGCATGCCACCATACCCAGTTAATTTTTATATTTTTTAGTAGACACACAGTTTCACCATGTTGGCCAGGCCAGTCTTGAACTCCTGACCTCAAGTGATACTCCTGCCTCAGCCTCCCAAAGTGCTGGGATTACAGGCATGAGCCACCGCACCCGGCTTACAGTTTTCCTCATCTGGTTAAAGCCAAATCTCCATGCTTGGATTGCCTGCAGTCATCTTGAGGGTGGCTTAAACATATTTTACTGAACTCTTTGATCTGCTTCGATGAGTTAGGGGTTTGCCAGATGGAGAGGCTTTGCCCTGCCCACTTTCATCTCTCCAACTTTCTCCCTCCATTTCCCATCCCAATTGCTACCGGCCTCCTCAAAGTCACCAGTGCCACTGTGACCACTGAGCTCTGACAACCACTTTTCAGATGTTTTCTGTAGAAGAGTAAATGGTTTCTTATAGAAAGTAAAATGAAACATTTTATTGAGTTTTAGCATAATGAAAGAATACACTAAATATTGAGGTGGCAAAGAAGCCCTGGGCAGGAAGCAAGAGCTAATTGGTGAAGCTGAGAGGAGATCCTTTCAATGACATCTGACCCGAGCTGGTTGCTACAGCAAAAGGTAGAATAAGGTGAGTCTGTGAGGTAAGGAACAAGTGGTATCCAATACAATGATCATATTTGGTGTGAATGTTGCCATGTCTTTAGCCTCTAGGTCAATGTTGGTTACCCACCCATCCTGCTGGGTTAGCTCAAAGCACTTCTCCTGGCCCCCTACTCCTGAGAAAGACTGATGGTCTTGGGCAGAGCCAAGAACAGCGTTGCGTCCTGATGCTAAGAAATGGCGGAGTTGGCACATTAAGAGGCAGGCAAAGGCTTCTCATTCATGTAGCAGGGTCTCTTTATAGTCCTCCCTTATTGAGGGTGGTTTTTTTTTATTTCTCTGACGGGATGTAGCTCTTCTAGGACTTTTTAGGGAGAAGCCACTGGAGAGGGTTGTGTGCTGCCTTCCACCATAGCCTCCTTGACCTAGGAAAGCCACATGAGAGCCAAAACAGGGCTGAGAGGGGCAAGTTACCACCCAGGCCTCTGCAGGCAGCCTCAAGCCCAAGCAAAAGGCATCCCAGCGGCTCTCCTAGGTCCGAACTCACCATGAAAGGAGTTGTGAGCCCTACTCCAACTAGGAATAAAAAGATTACATTTGTCTGGCATCTCCTTTGTGCATATAACTCCCCCAGGAACGTGGGACTGGATAAGGAGTAGCTGCACACATAACAGATAGTTAAAAATTAAAATATTCAGTATAGGGGTTTTCTCTGTTTCTTACCGTCTTTGACACACAACTAGCAGTTGTATTACTAATGGAAGATTGGGATAAAGATGGACTGATGGATAGGATGGCCACATGGATACACAGAATGTGTATATAAAGAATGCATAGGTACATACATAATGAAGATAGAAACATAATAAATATGTATGTGTGGGACCACCCAGAAGGAAAGTCCTCAATTTTATTATTCTAGGATTCATATTAAAAGACAATATTTTTCAAGGGTGGAGCAAGCTGGTCGAATAGAAGCATTCACCAATCGTCCTCTTTTTCCCCCACCAGAAACACCAAATTTAACAACTATCTACATACACATACACACACACACACACACACAAAACCTTCATAAGGACCAAAAATCAAGTGAGCAATCACAGCACCTGGTTTTAACTTCATATTACTGAAAAAGGCACTGAAGAGGGTAGAAAAGACAGTCTTAAATTGCGAAGACCATCCCTCCGCCAACCCCCAGCAGTGGCCACATGGCACGCAGGATCTATGTACTTGGGGGAGGGAGAGCACAGTGATTGTGGGATCCTGCGTTGACCTCAGTGCTGCCTTCTTACAGTGGAAAACAAACCTAGGCTGAACTCAGCTGATGCCCACTCATGCTGGCAGCATTTAGAACAGCCCTAGCCAGAGGGGAATTGCCTATCCAAGTTGTCAGAACTTGAATTCAGGCAAGACCCACCACTGTGGGCTAAAGCACTCTGGAGTCCTAAATAAACTCAAAAGGCAGCTTAGGCCACAAGAATGACAAGTCTTAGTGCTGTGCTGGACATGAAGCCAGTGAACTTAGAGGGTATATGACCTACTGAGACACCGGCCAGGACAGCTAAGGGAGTGCCCATGCCACTCTTCCACCAACCCCAGGCAGTACAGCTTACAGCTCCGAAACGGACCCCTTCCTTCCACTTGAGCAGAGAAAGGGGAAAAGAAATGAGGGCTTTGTCTTATAATTTGGATAACAGTTCAGACACAGTAGCACAGGGCACTGGGCAGAGTCGTAAGGCCCCGATTCCAGGCCCTAGCTCACGGATGTTTTTAGACACATCCTAGGCCAGCAACAAGTTTCTGCCTTAAAGAGAAGGAGCTACTCCTGGCAACATTCATCACCTGCTGACTAAAGATCCCTTGGGTCCTGCATAACCAGCAGTGATACCCAGGTAGTACATCAAGAACTTTGGGTGAGATATGCTGGCTTCAGATAAGACCCAGAACATTCTGAGCTGTGGTGCCTACTGTGAAAGATTCCCTCTGCTTGAGATAAGCAGAGGGAAAAATAAAGCGGACTTTGTCTTGAACCTCAGGTACCAGCTTGACTATGGTGGGGTAGAGCACCAAGCAGGCTCTCAAGGTTCCTGATTCCAGATATCGGCTCATGGACAGCATTTCTGGACCTGCCTTGGGCCAAAGGGGAGCCCACTGCCCTGACAGGTGAATCCCAGGCCAGGCAGCATTCACCACAAGCTGACTGAAGAGCCTTTGGGCCTTAAGGGAACATCGGCAGTCACCTGGCAGTACCCACCATATTGTGGACACATGGTTGTGATGGTGGCTATGGGGAGAAGTACCCCTGCCTGTGCAATGGGAAAGGAAAAGTGGGAAGGACTTTTGTCTTGTGGATTGAGCACCCGCTTAGCCACAGTAGAGCAGAGCATGAGGTAGATTTCTAAAGTTTTTGACTCCAGGCCCTGACTCTTGAAGAGCATCTCTGGACCTGCCTGGGTCCTGGGGGAACTCACTGACCTGAAAGGAAGGACATTAAGCCTGGCTAGCTTCATTATGATGACTGTACAGTCCTGGGGCCCTGAGCAAACATAAGTACATAAGTAGAGCCAGGCAGTAGTTACAGTAGGCCTTTGGCAGGACCCAGTGCTGTGCTGGCTTCAGGTCTGACCCAGTGTAGTCCCAGTGGTAGTGCGATGGGTTGCTTATGTCACTCTATCCCCAGTTCCAGAAAGCTCAGAACACACACAGAGACTCTGTTTGGGAGAAAGTAAGGGAAGAAGACAAGAGTATTTACCTGGTAATCCAGAGAATTCTTCTGGATCATATCCAAGATCACCAAGGCAGTACCTCTACAACCTACAAGAACCATAGCATTATTGGGCTTGCAGTGTCGCCTAATGCAGAAACAAATTAGATCAAAACACTCAAGTCCCTTCGAATAACTGGAAAGACTTTCCAAGAAGGATAGGTACAAACAAGCCCAGGGTACAAAGACTAAAATAAATACCTAACTCTTCAATGCCTAGACATTGTTGAACATCCACAAGCATCAAGACCATTCAGGAAAACATGACCACACCAAATGAACTAAATAAGGCACCAAGATCAATCCTGGAGAAACAGAAATAAGTGACCTTGAAGGCAAAGAATTCAAAAGAGCTGTTTTGAAGAAACTCAAAAAAATTCAAGATAACACAGAGAGTGAAATCAGAATTCTGTCAGACAAATTTAGCAAAGAGATGGAAATAAAAAGAATCAAGCAGAAATTCTGGACCTGAAAAATGTGACTGACACACTGAAGAATGCACCAGAATCTCTTAATAGCAGAATTGATCAAGCAGAAGGAATTATTGACCTTGAAGACAGGGTATTTGAAAATACACAAAGGAAACAAAACAAAAGACAATTAAAAAGAATTAAACATTCCTACAAGATCTAGAAAAAAGTCTCAAAATGGCAAATCTAAGAGTTATTGGTCTTAAAGAAGAGGTAGAGAAATAGATAGGGGTAGAAAGTTTATTCAAAGGGAAAATAACACAGAACTTCCCAAACCTAGAGAAAGATACCAACATTCAAGTACAAGAATGTTATAGAACACCAGGTGAATTTAATCCAAAGAAGGCTACTTCAAAGCATTTAATAATCAAACTCTCAAAGGTCAAAGATAAAGAAGGGATCC